ACCACCACGACCACAACAACAACCACGACCACGACCACCACCACAACAACCACGACCACCACAACCACCACCACACCCACTCCCACCACTACCACCCCTCCCGCCACCACCACCACTGCTACTACTGTCGCCACGACTGCTACCACAACCATGATGACCACAGGCACAACCACCACAGCTTCTTCAACCGGCACCTTCATGGGCCCCGTGCTTCTTGAGGTCGGAAGCATCACCATTGCAGGAGGGGGCTGCTGTATTGTTGGCAGCAGGTTGAACACTTTAGTAGCGCAGGTGGTGTGCTTAGCGAATCTTCTGTGAGAAGGCGGCAAACTTGAAAGGGGAGCAAGCAGAGGGTGTGACAGAGCAAAGTGTTCGGAGTATGAGGCGTCTGCTCGACCCTGCATGTTCAATTTAAGTTCGGGAGCTTGGGGTTGACATTCTAGTCAGGCTTGGCTGTTGGTCCAAAGCGTTCCTGCCAAAACCCGTTAACCACAGATCATCAGGAGACAGCGCTGGATGGCAAAGCTTTGCATTCCAGAATTCGTTCGCAGAGACTCCTGTGGTGGTGGTGCTACCAGGCATGGGTGCTGCAGGAGAAACGGTTCCTGCGAGCGTGAAAATCCGAGATGTCTCTCCAGCAGGATTCCAGGCGTTGGTTGCGGTGCCACCAGGCCCAACCACCAACCGCTCCTCGATGACTGTGGCTTACATGGCCGCGCTTGAAGGGAGCCATACACTGCCGGATGGAAGTCGCCTTGAGGCAGGGAAGGTCTCAACTTCGGCCAGGCAAGTGGGAACTTCCTGCAAGCTTGCTGAGGCAAGCCCCGCATGGGACGTGGTGAATTTCGCAACCACGTTTGCAGCTCCACCGGCTGTTGTGACCATGCTGCAGACGGCCAACAACGAGTACGGAGCAGTTCCAACTTTTTTCTCGGAGCCCTGGCTGACCGTCGCATGTCAGGCAGTGTCCTCGACTTCAGTCTCCATTGCTTTGGAGTCAGCTGAGACCTCACAAGTCGGTAGCTTTACAGCCGCTGAGGAGGTTGGCTACGTGGCTATGTCGGTGGGGCAAGGCAGTTTCATGGCAGGAATGCAAGATGTGCAGTACTCCGCAACATTGACTGGGGCAGTGGTCAAGGGTTTCGATGACGGGGAGACGACCGTTACACTACCCATGGCGTTTGCCAGCTCGCCATTGGTTGTGGGAAGTCAAGTGTCGAGAAACGGCAACAACGGCGGTTGGCTCAGGCTTTCAGCAACCTCTGCTTCCGCTGTGAATCTATTCATTGACGAGGACAAATACTGTGACACGGAACGAATACACATCGGTGAAGCAGCAAGTCTTATCGCTTGGTCGGGACCGCTGGTCCTTGGAGTGCCTACGACGACCACAACAACAACTGTGACGTTGAATGGCATGGCCACCCTGGAAGTCGGTGAGGTGACCGTACAGACTGGTGGGTGGGTGAGCCATTCTTTCAGCATGCCTTTTGCTGAAGTACCAGTGGTGGTCCTTGCCCCTTCGGCACAAGTGGATGAGCCTGCAGCTATCCGCATCAAGGACCTGTCATGGCTCCATCTGCATTCTCAGACTAAGTACAAATTTTCATAAAGTTCCACTCCATTAACTCCACCAACTACAAAGTAACATGAAAAGGCATGTCTTGTGCAGAGAGGACGTAACCAAGACTGGCTTCCAAGCAGTTGTTGCGAAGCCCACCGGCAGCAGCGTTGCCGGCGCATCTATGAAACTTTGCAGAACTTCAGGCAACGTTTGCACGTTGCCACTGTTGGAGTTAGCCTCTCTTGACAGCAAGGTCATTAAAGCTCATGTGAGCTAGAGTCTAGACTCCTCAAAGGAGGTTATAAAGGGGACAACTATAGGGGTGACAAAGGGGGAAGCTGGGAGTTTGCAGTACAGTGACTACAGCTCATGTGACATGCGCAAGGAAGCGAGAGAAGAGCAGCCAAGGACGGTCTCCTTCGTTGCGGTGGTCCCGGGAGTCCGTCAGCTCCCAGGCACAGCTACGTGCGGCTTTGGGATATTTGCAAACTCGCCATTGCTGCTGCTACAGCTGCTTGCTGTGTACCCGTTGCGAACAGCAGACCCTTTCCTGGAAGTGCGTATGTTGCTATGGTAGGCAGCGGCTTGTGGCTTGAAGCTGGTCGAGTCTCCACTGCCAAGCTTGCGGCTTCAACGAAGTGTAGGCCCTCGAGCGGCTGCTTGGCCAGACTTCTGACGTGAGGGTTTGCCTTCGCTGGGTCAGTCTAGGCATTAAGGTTCAGGCTTGAGGGTTTAGAGATTTAAGATTCTTGGGGCTTAGGGGTTAACTTGAACCTCTACGACTTGGGCCAAGTTTCCTTTCAGATGGGTGGGCCAACAGAGGGTACTTGTCAGGCACAGCTTTTCTATCAAGGTTGTCACGGATGCAGCCGTATAAAGCATACATCAGGCAGAAATCATGTGACGGCAGCTACGTAGGTGCATGGGGCAAACACTGGAATCCTGTGTGATGGTGCTCATGCTCACTGCTCACGCGCTTTCGGCAAGTTCCTGCGCAGGTTTCCCATGCGTTCCTTTCTGACAATGCGTGCTCCAAGGTAGTTGTGAGAAGTGCATGATATAAACTTGGGCATCGGATGCAAGTGGCGTGCAAACTGATAGCATGCATGCCTTTTCATTGAGCCATGAATTTCTTTGCATCCCATACTACCCTAGATAGCCCGAAGCAAAAACTGTCCATTGCAGGGAAAGGCACGCAGAAAACGGCCACAATTCCAATCACAATTCCAATTGCGCACCATCAGCATGGGTAGGTACCCTCTGCAGAGTCAGTGACACAAGGCGTTCAGGACAAGAGCTTGACCCCGCCGGATCAGAAGCCACTGCGTAGCTTTTCCCTCTTATGAAAGTCGCCAAGTCAAGCGCATGTAGATGCCCAAAGGGTCAGATTGTCAAGCTTGGATTTTCCCTACATATCATTATGTAACCACAAAAACCGTGATCTTGTATGTATGGATCTACAAGGAGCCTCCACAGTTCTGAGAAGGATGTTCGTCGTATCCGCACAACACGCCAGTATGTTTTTGCTTGTCAGGTCTGTCGACTTCATGGCAAAAAGTGGACTTCCAGAACCAGTTCGTAGAAAAACCAGCCTTCCTGACTACTATCCAGACAGTGAACAATGAAGTTGGCCTTCCGTCAGCAAATTCAGAGCCATGGTTTACAGCTGCTTGGCAGCAAAATATGGATGCAGCAGATGCCTTCATATCGAGTTCTAGCATCTGGCCCAGGTGGGTGTCAATTCTGTGAACCCTGCTGACGCCTGGGCGCTGCTCCCAGCATTCTGCAGAGTAAGTGCAGATCGCAGATGATGGCCCAGCAGAATCAGGTATCGCTGGAGATGGCTGAGACTTCGGAGCATGGAGGCTCCGCTGTGACCCAGGACGAGGAGGTTGGATGGCTCGCTATCCAGCAAGGTGTCCACACATTTCAGGCTGCATCAGGCAGGGTGCAGGAAGTAGGGGGAACAAGTGCTCATGTCATTTCAGCCTTTCGGACAGGCCAAGCCGTCCAATGCGCTTCTGTCTACTCCACCAGAAGCGTGAAGGGCTGGGATAATGGCCCCGTCACTGTATCCTTCGGTGCTGATATGGGTGGAAATCCCTTTGTAGTTGCCAGTCAGTCGAAGAGGTTTGGAGGTGATGGAGGATGGGTCCGTGTCACGAGCACCTCGTCCACATCGGCTCAAGTGGTGATCGATGAGGATGTCAATTGCGACACCGAGAGGAAGCACACCAGCGAGGAAGTGAGCGTATTGGCCTTCTCTAGCAGCTGCATCCTTCAGTGAGAAGAAGGAATCTGAGGAATCGGGCGGCAACGTACTGCTCGGTTTCCTTGCAAATCTGTTTGCCTAGTGAGGGGTGGGATCAAAACTAGGAGCCGAAGTGGGGAGTTTCTCCAACTTGCCAAGCGCAGAACTATTTATGAAGGTTTTATACCATATAGCCGCTTCCGAACTGCTCCCTTTCGATACCCATGATAGATACCCCACCGAATTAGGGGCCTTAGCAAGCAAGCACTGGCCCTGATGAATTCGCTTATCTTGTTTGAGTCTGGGCTTGCGTCTGCTTACAGCTGGACAGATTCGAGGGATGGCTTGGTCATCCAGTCTTTAGGGGTGGCTTTGGTGAAGTTTTTCTGAACACACGGAACACACCACCACAATTAGCAGAGCGCTGAAGACGAAAGATGATTCAAAGAGTCGTGAAGCCACAGTCAATGGATCACGGAATGGCAAGGTTGATTTGGTCAGAGAGAGCTGTTGAAAGGTAGGTGAGGTCGGAGATCTGTCATTTCTGAACCTGCGGTTGCTTTCCACGAGTCTGTCCTCCGTGGCCGCAAGTCATGACTGGAAGAGTGCAAGGGCCAACCAAAATCGCTGCCCCATGTCGAGAATTGCATTTTTGGAGGCAACCGGGCCCAGCAGGGTGTCGATACCACAAGTCTCAGCAAGGCTGCATTGTGTCACATGCCGCATGTCCGTGAGCATTGCAGATCAAGAGCAGGCGGACCAAGCTGTGACACCTGCATCAAGCATGAAGCGTGCAGCGGCCGCTTTGCCAGTGTTTGCCAGCCTGGCGCTTGGACAAGACACGCCAATCTACCAGTACTCACCGGCCACGGTGCTTGGATGCGAGTGCGTGTCTGAGTGCAAAGAAAGTCCTTTTGCTGGCTGCTTTGCAGCTCCGATCTGCAAGGTCAAGGACAAGAAATGCGCCAAAGGCACTGCCTCCTGGAGCTTGCCATTGGGCAGCCATGATTATTGTTCCTTTCCGGAATACAAGCCCTATGAAGAGCTGATGGGGCAGCAGAAGCAAAAGTTGCTTTGGAACCGCATCAGCCAGAACACGACGGCCGGCCGGTATCCTGCCGCGCTGTCAGTGCTCACTGGCCTCATGGGGGAGAGCGTTCAGGTGTCTTTCTAGTCACAGTCAGACATCTTCCCAGGCTCCCGCATCAAGTACATCCACAGCGTCGGGGCAGTGGCGCCCATCAAGTGGGAGTCGCTGACTTCAAAGTACGGCGGCCTCTTCGCCTCTGGGTCGGAGCATGGCTTCGTGCGCTTCTCCTCCGCTGCGGAGCCCGGCAAATCCGGCTTCACACCAGGAATCGGCCTGAAGCTTTTGCGCGACGGGCGCACTAGCTCCAACTTTGTTGCTATGCCTAGCCTGGATGGCCAACCATGCGAGGAGAGCAACTTCTTCTCTCGTGACTTCACTACTCACATCAAGCCACCCAGCAACTTTGGCTTGAAGTTGATTGCGCAGAAGTTCTGGCAGGCTTCTTACTGCCCCTTGATGGTGGGCACCTCAGACTTTGCAGATGGCCAGAAGGGCAAGTTCCCCTTCGAGCTGGTGTTGCGTCCCGTAGTGAAGGTGGAGTGCCCATGCGAGGATTATGCCCAGTGCCTTAAGAATCTCGAGTCCGATTTGATGCCCGGGCAGTCGGTCTTTGAAGTGTATGCGATAGAGAAGCCAGGAGCGGCCGAAGAATTGATCGGAAAGATTCGCATCGGGGAGCATGCCCCGACAACCACGACCTTCGGCGATGAGCAGCTGTTTTTCAAGCATCAATACATGGAGGATGACTTCCAGCTGCAGCCAGAGTGGCTTGATGCAATCGACTCAAAGGAGGAATGTGGCATGAAGGGTGTAACAACCACACCGCCCAAGGCGGACAAAGGTTGTCATTCGCCCTTTGATGGCATGCTCCAGAATGACCACGAGGTCATCGTCTGAGCGCAGTTCTTATGCTTGAGATTTTCGATGGGACTCTATAGCGTTACAGCTTACCCGAGTTCTTCCTTTTTCACCCGTTAGGAAGGTGCTCGTTGAGCCCCATGAGCCCAAATATGGCGCAACTTGGCCAATTGCCCAACATGGCAATCATGTTGCGTAACAGAGTCCTGCAGGCTGAGGAGCCTGCATTAGCTGTGCTGGAAAAAAAAAAGAGTGCCGCCGCTGTGCAAGGACAGTTCATGTTTTTGTGTGCTTCATGATCCGCCCATGAGCGGCCCTGCGCAAGGAAAATGAAGCCAATGCTGGTTTGTCCGCAATAATTTCCAGCTCAGTGAAGCAGCGATATTTGCTAGTGCAACTTGAATGCACACTTCTGATCAACTTATGTGGAAGACTTCCGCGAGTCAAGTCCGAGGTTCACTGGTGGTCCAAGGCAATCTGCCGAAAGACCCGACAACAGAAAGTGTGGGCGTAATCATTTCTTAGAGGCCCAGCTGCTAATAAAACAGAAATCTGGCCTCAACATCACGGTCTTGGGGCTCTGAGGCCTTCGGGATTTGCACAAATTACTGAAGCCTTGACAGGATGCATGTCATGTGTAGTCACGAGCTTGCATGCGTTTGGAAAAGAGAGGTCTTGTTTCTCGTAAGCAATAGCGCAGAGCCATGGCAACAGAAGAAATGCGGAGAAGCATCCTCCATGAGGATTAAGCCATGCACAACCAACTTTGTGCTGTGTCTCTGCTAGCTGGAATTTGGTGCTTCCTCGAACTGCCTCCCAGACCTTGACCGTAGACTTCATGTCGACTTAATCTCCGACTTACGGTAGTGCTGCGCTGCCATAATGGTGACGCAAGTTTCTGGTTAAGCTGCATGGGCTCTGCCAATCAAGAAAGTACTAATTTCCCAAACTTCTTCATCTTATGGGGTAACCACACAATAATCACAATCAGATTTTTTTTCGCTCAGAAGCAGGCTTCTACATGAGTTGTCAGTGATGTAACATTATATAGGGGCAGTATTGGGGTTACAGTGGAATAATGGAGAAGAAAAGAGAATGGAGACTATTACTCTTTCTATTTTCATTACTATTACTACTATTATGACTATTACTATGATTGCTATTATTAGGATTGATATTATTCTCATTTTATTGCTATTATTACTATTATGATCTTATTGTGCTTGCAGGAGTGGCAAAGTTTTCGTGCGGATGTCTTGCGGGACGTGGCGCAGCTGGTCAAAGAACTGCATGCGCAGGTGCGTGTGGGCACCAATCGAAGCTACTCATAAATCAGTTTTGAAGCGTGTATTGCAACTTTGAGTTTGTTTCAAGGTTGCAGTTTCAGTTTTCAAGAGTACAGCTTGGCAAGGAGGTGGCAGGCTCAAGCCCACGTAAGAAGGACGAAGTGTCAGCGCGCGGTCCTCTACAGCAGCCTGCATCAACAGCAGTATAGGGACTGTTTTGGGCATACTTGGGCATGTAGCGGCTCCACATGGGCCTCAGGTCAGAAGAGATCGCAGAGACCACACTCCTGGAGCCAGGCTGGGATGTTACCGCGGGGGGCTTTTCTCTCTGAATGCTCTGCAAGTTTGTGCAGGTGCATCAGAGCTGTACCTGGGGCTGCATTACGCTGCTTTCTGTGGCTTCTTCGGCATCTTGCATCACGACGTGCTTTCACCTGCAAGCTCAGGCTCACCACTGGTGCTGCCCCGTTGGCGTTCAGCGACTCACCTGGGCAGGATCGGAACCTGGACCCCTGCAAGTTGCCACTGGTTGCCAAGTCTGGCATTTCCCAACCGGTCCCAACCCCTCCCGTGATGAGGCCGGCGAGTCCGATTCCGACATGGTGCTGCGGCATCTTCCAGAGGACCACCACACGCTACTTCTACAATGCAGAGTATTGCGCAGCATCGTAAGAGGCTCCTGCTCCATGCGCGGGCGTGTCCATGGTTGAGGACGCCAGAAGGGAGAAGGAGGGAAGCGCTGTCATGAATGGTTTTTGGATTGAGTGTGCGTGCACAAGGAAAGAGATTCTGAGGTGGAGGCACGGGTGCTGCGGTCATGCGGCGGATGCAAGGTTGTTCTGCTACGTCAGCCAATGAATCGCTGCGTGTGCTCAGCTACGCGGGCCGGCGTTGTGCAAGGCCGCGACATCGCCGTGGGGATGCGCTGTGGGCTTCCTTTCGAGTATGTTGCCCTGGAGCTCTGCGGCTTGTGTCACCCCATCTCCTGGCAAGGCGATGCCTATGCCTACTGCCACCCCAGAGATCGGAAACATTTGGAAACCATTCAGACTTGCGAGGAGGAAAGCAGAGGGCTGGTCCAGTGCCTGTTTCCAGGCTCGCCGGATAAACGATAAGATGTAACTGCCAGATTGCAGTGTTCGTGGCTGAAGGGTTCTTGTACCAGGAGCAGATTTTCGAATCTTACTGGGAAGGGCTGTCCACGCAGCCTGGCCGTAAAGAGCCTGCGCGAGATGATGTAAGGGTAGATCTTGCCGTGGACCAGGACGAACAGTTTTTCCCAAGATAGCGGACAGTTCTTGCACCAACTAGACACCAGAGAGGGGATAGGGGGAAAAAAACTTCATAGGCATAAAAAAACTGTATAAGCATCAAATCAAAATTTTTTAAGCAAGAAAACACTTATTGCCTATTTCCTTTGGAGTACACCAATCCGGAATGTTGTTTTTTGATGCTTGGGCTTCGACCCTGTGGTCTGGCAGGAACGAGAGAAGGAAGGAAGGAAGGCGGGAAG